TCCTTACTCTATGCTACTCTATAATATATATCACTATATTATGATAGCATAATTACTTGCTACGCTGTTTTTTTTCTGTTTAAACATTCTTGAAGCGATTTCGATAGCAGAATTTTAAAAACGTGTCTCTTTCTTTACTATTTAAGATGTTTGGTACATTTTCCCTTACAATGTTTTCATTTATTTTATTTCCTAATTCAAACCTTTGCATTGCAGGTATTGGGCAGTCGAAAAGGATGTGTGGGACGGATTCCTCTGCTGTTCCTGGCTCGCATGCGCACATGGCTCTCTTTGGCAGCTTAAGTCCGAATCAAGTACTCGAGACCCACACGCGGCGTCGCACTGTCATAATTTGCGTAATTATACCATGGATTTTTATTTTGCGGATCATCCGGTACGCCATCACAGCATCCGGGAAGAATATCTTTGTGACCGACGCGGTTTCTCCAGTTCGATATCTGCGATTCCATTCGTCAAGCGTCGCAAGTCGAATGCTTCGCTTGGCGAATGAGACCGGGTACAGATCGTAATCAGGTCTTCTTTTGGAGCCCAAAGCGGCACTTTTGGCAAGCTGGTCAGCTCTTTCGTTACCCTCCATCCCTGCATGAGCCTTAATCCAGAATAAGGTAACAACCTTACCCTGGAGAGATGCTGTTGTTAATTTATCTCTGCTCTCTACTGCAAGGGGATGGAGGCAACTATGATTTATGACCGTTTGTAGAGCTGCCATTGAATCACTGTAGACTCCAAAAGAAGACTCTGGGTGTCCGAGAATTACATGTGTGGCCTTGCATATAGCCAGAAGTTCAGCCTGGTAGACGGTGCAATACCCTGGGAGAGCAAGCTTGAAGGCTTTTATTTCGGTCTCGCTGTTCCTTCCACACAGACAAGGGCAGCAGCCGACTTGGCTCTCATCCTGCTCGCCGTCAGTAAATATAGAATTTCAAAAGTACTGTTTTGGTTGACGCTGTTACGATCTACCAGCGCTCACGAGGCTCAGGCTTGATATCCTCAGCGGATGTGGCGCCTCAATGTGCCGGCCACCCGCTCATCTCCCTGTCGCACCCAGCTCCAGCCGGGGCACTCCCCTCTTGGCCTCGTACAGTGAGGCCGCCTCACGCACTCTGAGATCAAGGGGAAGTATCCCAGCCAGTAGCAGCGCCGAGTTCAGGGAGACCGTTCGATAGCCCTTACAGATTTTCTGCGCTATCCCACGCTGGACCACTTGAAGCTGTTTGATCGTCATCAGCTTCTTTGCCGCCGGTGCCCACACGCTAGCAGCGTACAGGATGATCGGCTCTATAGTAGCCGTATAAATAATCCTAACTATATCAGGGTTGAGACCCCAGCTCACTCTCGCCGCTCTGGAGAGTAGCTTATATATTCCAGTAGCCTTCCTGCAGACATTCGCCACGTGAGTGTTCAAAGTCAGCCTGTCGTCTATGGTGACACCAAGGAGTTTTATTTCCCTGGACATGGCAATGTCTATCCCTCCCATCCTCAAGCGTGGGGTGTCGTGTTTAAGTTTTCTGGTAATAACCATCGCATTTGTTTTTCTCGGGCGCAAATTCTCAAGCTTCATTTTTTGACACCCGCACGTCCGAACATGTTCGAGAGCGACATTGGCGCGTCCTTGCACCTCTAGTGCGGTGTCACCATCGAAGACAAGCACGACGTCGTCCGCGAAGGCCTGACCATACTCACCCCAATTCTCTAGGCTTTTTAAGAGAGGGTCCAGGAGGAGGTTCCACAAGATTGGTCCTCCGATGGAACCCTGGACGCACCCCTTGGTAGTGATTTTGGTGCACTCCTCTCCCGCATACCTAACCACTATCTCTCTGTTCCTCAGGTAGCTATCAAATACCTTCCTGAGGTTCAGTGGGCACTTTTCCTCAGCCAGTCGGACTCGTATAGCTGGCCACCAGGCGCTATCGAAGGCTCCCTCTATGTCCAAAGAAACCAGAACAATTATTTTCTTTTCATCTAATTTCCTGTGAATGTGTTGCATTAGATTATAGAGGGAGTCCTCGGTGCTTCTCTGGGGCATGAATCCGTACTGGCGAGTACTCATTTTAGGCAGTAGGTGAAATTTGAGGCGTGACACCAACATTTTTTCATATATTTTGCCTAGTATTGGCAGTAGACCAATTGGTCTATATGCTTTGGGGGTGGTATATAACGTCCTTCCCGGCTTTTTCAACACCACGACCGTAGCCTTCTTCCAAAGCTCTGGAAAGTGATGGTATTCCAGACACTTGTTCAAAAATATTAAAAATGCATCACTGTGGTTTCTAATGACGTGTTGGCAAATATCTGCAGTAAAGCCATCCGCTCCCGGGGCTTTTTTCGGGTTAAAGGATTCGCTGGCCTGTTGTAGCTCCGTCATCGTGAATGGTGGGTCGCAGGGCTTCAAACTTCTTGCCATCATTCACTTTTTCCGGCTCGCTCCGCGTTCTGACGGTGCGTCACTATTTTCGGCGTCAGTGAGATCGTCTGGATAGAAGGTCTCTGCCAGAAACTTGACAGAGCCCTTCTCATCCAGAACCTCCCCTTCCTTTACCAGCGGCTGATCCTCCTCCCTATTCGTTGTCCTTCCGATCACCCTGTAAATACCCTCCCACACACCCTCCCTGTCCTGCTTACAGCACAATCCTTCCAACCAACTTTCCGTCTGAGCTTTTGCTGGGCTTCTAATTCATAACTTTTTCATTTTGATTTCAGGAGCTTCCTCGATGACCTTTGACCTCCTTCCGGATTGGGGCAGCGTTCCTGATTCTGCGTTTTTTAGTGGCAACGTTCCTCTTCAGATCTGCGAGTTCCTCGGACCACCACGGCAGGGTAAGTGTTTCATTTGATTTTTTGATTGGCATCGACTCTACGCAAGCGTCCGTAATTGATTTATTTCGTAAGACCTAGTGTGGTGTTGTTAAGTTGTTCAGCACTTCGTACATTCGTGAGTTCAGCGGTGGTAAATTTATTTTCTACTAATTTTTGATTTAGTTTCTCACGAAAACTCGTCCAATTGGCTTTTTTTGTGTTGAACAACCTAGTGGTCCTACTTATTTTTAT